CTATGAGTTTGGTTGAGCTTAAATTTTGTGTAATTGAATAATTATTTTCTAGTTCTTTTCTATCTACTATGGTAGGGCATATTTATTATTTTAAATATTAAGCTCAAACATTTATAACCTTGGTAGGCTTTAAATTAGTTCATTCTTTTTCTACCAATGTTAGTTTTCAATTACCTAATTTATTAAGAGAAAATAGTTATAACCACTGTGGCTCTAAAATTTATTTTTTACTCTTTTTACCATGGTTATACCATTTTAAATAAAATTGAGAAAATTAGTTTTAAACATTTTTATACCATGGTAATTTTTAATTGGTTTAAAATATTTTTATTATCATGATATTTGGTTAAATTTCTAGTTAATAAGATTAGGGTGTTACATTTGGTCCAATTTCTTATTTTGATGTGGAATTAGCTAACCTAAGTTAAACTAGGTAATCTAGGATTAACTTGAATGAACTTGTCCAACTTCACAACTTAGGTAGGTTAAATTTTTTTAGGTAAAAAAAAAACAAAAAACTCAAAACTCTATTGCCCGCTTGTCCCCAACCACTGCTATTGTCCTATTGTCTGTCATCCTTGAGCAATGAGCTCTCTTCGAGCTTCGAGCTTCTCGTTGTTCTTGTGTGTGACCTTCATGAATTTATAGGTCTTGCTTGTCTTTGACCTTTAGCAGCTCTTCTTTCTCCCTCCACACTCGATTCATGTAACATCCTAAAACTTCAAATCTGAAAAAAATGGATTAATTAAGGGATAAATTAGTTAAAAATATGATTAATTTATTTAAGTATGTTTTTGGGTGGCTAATTGGATTTTTGGGTCATATATGGCTCTAAATTGAGATAGGATGAAAGTCGGATCAAGTCGGGAAGCATTGGGGGGAGCAAAATCAAGTTGTTGCTCGCTGTACCGTGAGCCACGGCTTACGCAGCGTGCGCTATGGCGCACGGCACAGCAGGCAACTTATATTTTTGGAAATCAGCAAAAAAACTCAGATTTTGGAGTGGAAAACCTAGAGCATGAAGGAGGCAACTTTGGGCACTGTTAGGGCATCAATTTGGAAGGATTTTGAAGATCATTTGAGCCTTCAAACTCTTGGGTAAGATTCCTACCTTCTCTTCTACCTTTTCATCTCATTTTCCATGGGATTTGGAAGAAGTGAGAATTTGGTCTGATGGGATTAAGCCATGAGTTAATATTTTAAAGGTTTCTATTAACTCTAAAGGTTTAATTTAGATTTATTGATCTTGGATATGTGGTAATATGAAGCTACTTTATTGTTTAGTGGGAGTTGGATCAAATTTTATCTTGATCATAGGGTGTTGAAGTGTGATAAGTTGAGATATTGAGTTTTATATGGTGATAGAGTTAGAAAGAAACTTGAAGGATGAAGTGAACAAATTTTAATCTTGACAAGTCTATTTGTTGAGAATTTGAGTGAGAAGTGGGAGAATTGGGAGGTTATTATTAGTTAATAGTGCTTGTGTTAATTGAAAATTAACATATAGTACTTATTGATGTAGATTGTGGTGTGGGAAGACTTATATTGACACAAGAAGAGAATTAGTACCGTGGGTAACCCTTTTAGTAACAAAAGGGTTGAGGTAACTCGATAATTTGCATTGTTTATTACCTTATATAAGTTATTCTCAAGTGCTTTTCTATGATTTGTTGAGTATATATGCATAAATTCTTTAAAGGTTATCTATTTTAGAAAAAGTGGATTATTGGTTTTGTAAAATTCTATATTTTTGAAGTTAATGGAAAAATTTTGTTATACTTTCTTGAAAAGTTGTTCATGCATGGTGAAGTGGAGATATGTAGTGAAATGTGGCATATTAGAGGGTGGGAGGTCACCGTAGTGGAGATAGTAAAGATTTAAATCCATATGGCATTGCTAGCACCTCGAGATGCCAAGTGTAGCATTTACTCTCCTTAGTGCCCGAAAATAGGTGCAGTGTTGGAGACTTATTCTCCTTAGTACCCAAAAAGGTACGGAGTTGGAAACTATGCTCCTTAGCATCTGTAGGATGCGGTGTTGGAGTAACGACACCCCAATTACTTGTAATAGGGGGAAACAATAGACCGGAAGTGGTTTAGGACACCTTGGCCGGGTAGTCCTACCATGGATGGTGAGCTTGGGGACCATACATGTGGTTTGGTTATGTGAACTAGCCTACTGGTTCGGTCAGGAGTATTAGAGGACCGGATGGTTAGGGATTATGCATGCAAATTTGTGGTGATATTATATAATGTGATTAAGTTACTCATTTTGATACTTGTTTATAACTTTGCTTGTTAATCAATAATGTAGATTATCTTAGTTACTGAGATTTTTATCTCACCCCGTGAATTATCATTTTATAGGTGCTACCAGTAAGACTGAGCCAGGGAGAGAATCGAGCAGGGGCTAGCATATTGCTACACTCTTTGTAAAGCTCGATTTTGATTTGAGTAGTGTATATAAACTTGTTATATGATACTATATGTTGCCAACTAGGAATGCATATCATTTTGATTGGTTGCACTTGTTTCATATTATGTTGTTGTGTATTTTAGCCCAATATTGTATATGAGGTGAATATGTGGTAATTTTTGTGGTGATGGGCTAAAATGCTAATACAAGTACAAGACATGTTTTATCTTTGTGGTGACAATGTATTTGTAGTGTATTATGTGGCAATAGAGGCCAAATAGCATATATGATGTTGATTTGGTATTTTGGCCATTTTGGGCAAAATGGCCCTTGAGTGGCCAAATTTTGTGTTTGATATGTTTTTATGTATTTAATTGGTCACTCAAGTGTATTTTGGTCTATTGGACTTGGTTCAAGCCTCACAATGGGTTAATGGTATAAGTTATGAGTTTTGGGTACTTGGATGGTTGAAAATTTCTTTGAAAAATTGATTTTTACATTCGAGTGTCTAAATTATCATATGGTGTCGGATCGTAATAAAACTTATACCATTAGTTAGCTTATTAAATAAGCTTCGCGTGGGCGCTTAAATCACTCCAATCGGACATCGTATGTGAAAATGGCTCGCGTTTGAAATTCGTTAAAAAAGCTGTCATGACAGCATTGCTGTCATGGACAGGTGCGCCGCGGTGCACGGTATAGTGAGAAAACTTGACATTTTGTGCCACAAGTCGTGGCGCACAGACCACGAGTCGCGGCGCACGGACCAAAACACTTAAAAATGACATTTTTGGCCCTGTTTTGAAGTGGTTTGATTCCCAAAACCTTTCCATGCTTCCAATACCTATTTAAATCATTAAGTTTGAGCTCAAACTATCAATTTAAAGGGTTTTTATGGAATTTCAATTATTCCACAATTATTTTAAAAGATTATTAGTTTTAACCCTTTTATATATAATGTGAGATTAGAAGCAAATCCTTGCTCCTAATTATGATTGGTTGTTGTGATTGTGTGGTGAATTTTGGTAATGTCAAGGTGGAAATTACAATTCAGGTATAGCTTTTCTCTCCCCTTCCTTTGGTTATTTTTGCTCTCGCTGTGTCCATCTTTCATCAAAGTTTATATAGAGATGAAATGGCTGAAGCTATTGAAAGTTTCTAACCACGAGGGGTGGCAAATAGTTTTATTAAATTTTTTATCGCAACAAGACACATCACTCCATAAGTTCATCCCATCTCCCCATACACATTTTTTGGCTATCACTAAGCCTCACATATAATGTTTTAAAAACTGCATTGGACAATGAACTGGAACTATTAGTAGGTTATGGGTTTCATGGTTCAATCAGTTAGACTGGTGGTTAAACCGGTGATATAATAATTAAATAAAAAAACTATTTATATACATATATATTGAAAAATGGTCAAAACAGTTCGACCACTTTGGGTTTCAGGTTTTTGCTCCGGGTCTTCAAGAACCACTCGGGTCAAAGCAGGCCAATCTCGGTCAACTGCTAGAACGGCCCAAATGGTTGAACTAGACCGTTTTGTCCTTTGGGTGATGGTTCAACGGTCCGACCATCTGGGTCGGTTCGGGTCTTAAAACATTGCTCACATACCTCACATATTTCAATTTTTTATCAATTAAAATTATATATTTAGTTATTTACATGTACTTTTATTAAAGCTTGTAAATTTTTTATTTTTATTTTTTAATTTTTTGTTTATATCTTATTATTATTTTGTTACTTTAATTTTATTATCATGCAAAATTTTTTATTATTAAAATTATTGTTGCATGTTACTCCTTTTGTTAAAAAATATAGTAGATTTTGAGTTTTTTAATGTGTAATTATTATATTCTTTTTAAAAATGCCCTCATTGAATATGTTACTTTATTTTTTTAAGGTGAAACACCCTATTAAATAGAGGTAGATATAATAAAATAGAGTTAGTTTAAAGACACATAACTATTTCATTGGAATGTGAGATTCAGTTAAAATGTCTTATATTTTTTAACGAAAAGAGCATATGAGATATTAAATTTTGGATATAGATGAATATATTGAAAATTAATGAGTTTTCCTTAAAATTATATTATTTTATTATGACTAGTTTGACTCTAGTTTAACCTCTGGTTGAACCTTTAATCTTAATCTTAACCGATTCAATGATCGATCTAGTTTTTAAAACTTGTATACTAGTGAATAAGAACCTTCATATAATATTAGTTGTTGTGTAATTAAAAAAGAGAAAATAAAAGAAAAAAGTGAGTAATAATAGTAAATAAATATTCTCTTTATTTCAAATTATAAAATATTTTTAAATAAAATTTTGTATATTAACAAAGCTCATTAAATATATTTTATAATTTTATTTTTTTAAAATAAAAATAAATTTTTAAAAATATCTTTTATTTAATACTTTATTAATAAAAAAATATATATATATATATATATATATTTATATGAAAGATAATATTAAAAAAATATTATTAATAAAATTTTATTTTTACTAAAATGTTTAATATTTTAAGATGTTGAATGCTGCGTGAAATTGCTTTATAATGGAGAACGGAGGAATGGTCATTCCATCCCCTATACGGTGCTGTTTCGTCAGTGTCACCACTTACCACAATCAAAGCTTATCTCTGTTCTGAGGCATGGTGGAAGTGGGTCGGATCAAGCTCGGGTCACAAGGCTTGGAGGTCTCGGTCCAGGGACTTGGGTGCAGGGACTTGTCTGCTCTCGGCAAGCCCGAACCCGACATGATCGCTCTCGTCCGCCACGCCATCGAAAGCGGGGTCACATTTCTCGACACCTCCGATTTTTACGGCCGAAACGCAAATGAAATTTTTCTCGGAAAGGTATGACCGATACGAACTTCACACTTCACAGTTCATTTTATTGCTTCTTCGCATTTGTTTGCTCTGGTTCTATAACGAACTGTGTGTGGATTCCTTTGGGCAGGCTTTGAAGGGAGATGTGAGGGAGAAAGTTGAATTGGCTTCCAAATTTGGACTTCTCTTTGCCGATGGCAAGCTTGATATCCGTGGCGATCCTGCATATGTGAGAGCGGCTTGTGAGGCCAGCTTGAAGAGACTGGACGTTGATTGCCTTGACCTCTATTATCAGCATCGTGTTGATACTCGTGTGCCTATTGAAGTCACGGTCCGTCCGTGTTCTTTTTTATTTATTTATTTTTCTCCTTTGACATTCTTTTCTCTGGGTAAATTACTGTTGGCCCATGTGATTTGTGTTTCATCTAAGTCAGTTTACTTATAATTTGAACTTGTTGCCTTTTTCCTAGGGAACTGTTGGGATTAAAGTAGACATTAGTATTAAATGGTGTGTATTAAAATTAAAAATTTTCGTCATTGCAGCTTTCATACAATGATGATTTGGACCAAATCGTTAAGCATTGTTTGAGATTTCGGATACTTTAGAACAATGATTCTTGGTTCTGCCTCTTGATAACTTATTATTTATATAGAATTCTGGAGAATGTGATATCATCTTTTCCTATAACGCTTCCACTTTCTTGAACTGAAAAACTAGGGATCATTATTTTAGTTCTATGAGATAATTCTCCCATGAAAAATTGGTTGGGATTGTGAACACTCCCCCCCCCCCCGCCAAACATGTCGCCTCACGTCTTGTTTGGGATATTTTAAATCTTCAACAGTTATTTTGGCTGAAAGACGTGATGCAGTAAGGCATTGATTTTGATTTTTCTAGGTGTTTATATTTTGGGTGACTTAAGATAGAAAACCAATTTAATGCCGTAAGACTGAGAAAACAGAGTCTAAATGGTTTCCTTGTAATGCCACTTTGATACTTAGCTATGTGCTTATAACTGCTAATCTTTCTTCACCATATGTCCTTACCTGAGTTCTGAATATGTAGGTATGATATTTGGTTCTAGAAGTTTGTTTTCTTCGTTATCATCATACTAGAAATTTGTTATTTGCGAGAATTTAAGACGTATTTCTCAAGGGGAAAAAATCCCCACAAATTGTAAGACATATGCTGCATGATCTTATGGTGGTGTCTTTATCTTGACAGCAATGGAATATTATATTTGGTTTTCTTTAACTTATCATCAATTTTGACCGTACTAGTTGGAATAAAGGCTAAGAAACACTATTCTTTTCCCTATGACTTGTGAAATCAAGGAGTCCTTTCTTCTTCACTCTCTCCATCTGCATTGTTTGCTGTCGGGACAGTTAACCAGTTCACTCTATATTATCGTCTTACATTTTTTTTTTCTTTTTTTAGTGTTATATAAGAGGCCGATGACCTGGGGGGTGAGGAATGGCAATTGGGTATGGGAAGGGATGCTTATCAAACCCAAGTATATCAGCTCACCTAATCTAAAAAATTTAGTTTTGTGCAAGATTTTCTAAGGTTGATCACTATCTTTGTATGCTTTTTTTTCTTTTTTGGGTTTATAGTATCTTTGCATACTTTTTGATATGTGAATTTCTGTTTTCTCTTTGAGGGTATATCTTTGCTTTTCTGTAACTTATATTACTTTTGTGTCAATCTCCGATATATCTTCTATAGTGCATCTTTGATGCATGGAATAGACAATTGCTAGTAATTGACATGCATCCATTTCAACGTGTGCATGGTATAATTACTTGTACACAATGAAAATTAAGACATTCTATACTTTTCAATTTGTACACATACAAAATTCTGCATGCTATGATCGATAAGTATTGACTTATTTCTGTATTGTTTATGGTAAGATTGGGGAACTCAAGAAACTTGTTGAGGAGGGAAAAATTAAATATGTTGGTTTGTCTGAGGCCTCAGCTTCAACAATTAGAAGAGCTCATGCTGTTCATCCTATAACAGCTGTGCAGTTGGAGTGGTCCTTATGGGCAAGAGATGTAGAGGAAGAGATAGTTCCAACTTGCAGGTGAAATTTGAGCTATACAAAAATTCTACATTATAATATTTATCTTTTCCTCTCTATTGAAGCTTTTGATGATCAATTATTGTTTAGCTTTGTGACATCTACTTTTGCATTTGTGATGTTATTAGGGAACTGGGCATTGGAATTGTAGCATATAGTCCTCTTGGGAGAGGATTCTTTTCATCAGGAGCAAAGGTGGTTGAAAGCTTTTCAGAAAATGATTTTCGGAAGGTTTGTGTTTATTCTTATGCAATTTAGTGTCATCCGTCATCACAAACTAGCCTAGCTTCTACCAGTATGATTTCAAGGCCTCTGACTGAGAGAATCAATCGTAGTTAGCTATTTCTGACCCTATTTGTCCTCAAAAACATCAGTTATAGTTACGCTACTAAAGATTGAATATAGTTAAATGTCATTTGTGAAATTAGTTGACTATCTCAATTAAATTAATTCTGGTAATCCCTAATTTATTTTGAGTTAGTTATGTTAATTTTCGCAGGCCCCTAATCATTATATATAATCAATTCAAGCAACTATATATGTAGTGGTTTTTTTTTCCTTCTCCTCTTGACTACCCTTGGATCTTTATCCTCTTTGATATGCCAAAATCTTTGTCCTTCTCTCCTCTCTTTAGGGTTGATACAACAAAATCATTATCCTCGATGATTCCAAAATTTAAAAAAAAAACAGAGAAAAAAAAATCATTCTCCTATAGAACTGTCACAATTTAAAAAAAAAAAAAAATCTTTGGTGGGGCAAAATAATCTTTAAGGACAATGTAAGCATATGCAACTCTAACTAGTTAGGTATCACATTTTGCCCACAGTTAGAGATGTCCATTATTGATAGATTAATATCTAGATGTAACTTACTGAATTTTGTATCCATTCATTTATTTTCTTTACTTTTTTTTTTTGGGGGGTGACCAAAAAGAAAAAAATGCTGGGTATGAAGACAATTTCTTCTCTTCTATCCCTTTTTAAATGCTCTCTCTCTATATGCATGCATGCATGCATGTATGCATGTATGTTCATTTTCATGGATTCAAAGGATTGGAATCCAATTTCATGTGGATGTATTTGACTTCATTGCAGCGTCTGCCTAGATTCCAACCTGGAAACCTGGAGCACAATAATAGTATATTTGAGAGGGTTAGTGAACTGGCTAAAAGAAAAGGATGCACTACGTCCCAATTAGCATTGGCCTGGCTTCATCATCAAGGAAGCGATGTGTGTCCTATTCCTGGAACTACCAAAATAGAGAACTTGAATCAAAATATTGGGGCTTTGTCTGTTAAACTTACTCCACAAGAATTGTTTGAGCTTGAGTCTTTTGTTCCAGGTGATGCCATTAAAGGTGATAGAACTGCTATTGGAACAGCTCCATGGCAGGAATCTGACACCCCGCCACTTTCTTCTTGGATAGCTTCATAATGAAGTACATTCCTTGTACTATCTCTTATGTATCATAGGAATATAATAAATATTTGGGAACAGAAATTGATGTGTTTAATGACAATTTGGTTCATGTCCAATGAGAGTGTAGCTTAATGCAATAATATTGGTAGGTAAAAACGTGTTTTTTAGGGAGGACATGGTAAGTGCAGTTAATTTATCGTTTTTTTTTTTTTTTTGTTGCTAGATAGATTCTCAATTTCCTTTGTAGAGAATATGCTTTCGTGGATCAAACCTGTACTAATGGGTAATTTTAAGTGTCCCTGTATGTATTTTTTTAGTGAGACCTAACCTACTTTTGATGAACCATTACAATTTTACTTACCTAAAGTCCTAAGCTTCATATTGTATTTGAATTTGGTTGGATAAAGACATTATATAGGAATGAAGAGAAAAGAAATAGAATGAAATGAAGTAATTATTCTTAACAAGGGCGGAGCAAGAAAATTTTGTTTGTTGGGATCAAAGTAACAAAGCATATATAATAATGGAAAGAAAATTAATTTCATATGTATCATTAGCATAGTAAATATTTCAACTTATCTTATATTTAATTTTTCTCACACACATATATAGCAAAAATAAATAGTATATGTCTTCACTTTAAGTTTTACTCATTAATTTTTCATATTATAAAAACAATTAATTATCATATTTAATATAAAATTTTAAATTTTTTTTTTCAATATAAATTATCATTAAATTGTATCTTTCTCATAAGAATTGAATAATTTAAATACATCATTGGGGTTTAAAATTTTATTCAATATAAAAAACTCTATTTCTTGCTTGTTGAATTTATTGTTTAATTTTTTTAATTGGTATGTTCTTTATTCAATATATCTTGAGATTTTTGTTGCAATACTTTATAAAGTTTGCTAGTAAAAATTCTCATAAGTGCTTTTATCAAATATAAAATGAAAACAAAATCAAATTATATCAATGCTTTAAAAGCAACTATAACATTATTTTGTTAAAAATAAGTAAATCCTATAACAATTATATTTTTAAGCTACCGAAATAGTTGGACTATATATATGTAAAAGACTACTATAAAATTAAAATGAGAATTTCATCTAGTATCTCAAAACTTTATAATGTATCAATTTAAGAGGTCAAAAATATATAATCCTTACATTTTATTAAAAAAAATAAAAAATTAGGAGGGGTTGTGGCCCATGTTGGTCCTCCCCATGTCTCTCCCCTTGATTCTTAAGTTCCTTGGAGCTTACATAACTTTTTTTTTTTTTTGTGTCAAATTATGCTTTTGACTATAAGCAAAATACTAAAAATTATAATTATTAAAAACCTAAACTTAAGTTGTTAATAATGGAGAATTAGTTTTTTTTCCTTTACAGTTTTGACTCATTTTAAGCTCAATGTCTTAAGAATGATTTGGTATAACTCAGTCTCTTTGTTTTTAACTCATTTAAAATGTAGTCCCTAATATTTTCATCATTTATAAATTTATTATTGTAATTCATAACTCATGTTGAGTCATTACTGAGTTATCTTGCAGGGCTATATATATGTGTGTGTATATTAACATCATTAACATTTGATTATGTGGCTTCACACAAGCAAGACACCTTACTTTTTTTTTTCTTATTATTTAAAAATTGAAATGAAACTGAGCCGAAGCTAAGAACCAACTTTTAATGATGTTTATAATTTTTTTTGCCATGTAGGATAACTCAATGATGACTCAACATAAGTTATGGATGACAAGGATAAATTTATAAATAATAGAAAGATTAAAGACTGAGTTTTAATTGAATCAAAAGTGCTGGGATTGAGTTGTATTAAATTATATTTAAAAAATTAAGTTTTAAGTAAATCAAAACTACTGAGACCATAAGATTAATTTTTTCAATAATAAAAGTAAATTTATTAATATATGGAGCGTAGTTGTTATTTTAGTTATAAAATAACAAGTATGCAATAACAATTATTCATATTAGCAACATTAACTTTGATATTCATAACTTCAATTTAGATTTTAACAACTAAAATTTATATTATTTTGTAGGTCAGAAATGTAATTTCGTAAAAAAAATTTGTTGGATAAATTCCTAAGAATTTCAAAGTAATTAACTTATTTTGTGATATTATTTTGTCATTTATCTATTTCAATGAAATTTATTTGTCATTCTCTCCATGAAAGATACGGGAGTAATGATCTTCTCATGTTATCATCTCCTCTAAATAATGATTGCATCACTTGTGCACCAGGATTTTTTTTAATTACCTTTTAAATATGATTCACTCTTAGTTTTAATGATTCATGATGAACTTAATTTAGGACTCTTTTTTTTTTATATAAAAAGGGTCAAATGATCAATTAAATCCAATAAAAATTATAACTCATAAGTTAGTAAAGGTGAAGAAAAGAAAGAAGAAAACAAAGAAATATGACGTTGACTAAGTTGTTCCGCCAACACTAAGCTAAAAGAGCAGAGTATATAATGAATGTTCTGTTAAATAACACTTTCTTCTTGGCAAGATTGTGAAAGCAAAAAATCTTCATTATGTAAGATAATTTTTAAACCTTCCACCTGTAAACCTCTTGTAATAGATTAATTGTCAGTAACTATCATCTATTGCAAAATGTGAAGGCAAGCTTGCAAAAAGCGGCAAGAGGAAGAGCAAGAGGATTTTGTGATATGAAATCATTGCACCTCTTCTTCTCCATGTGCTGTTGCACAAAAATTGAGGTTCCTTCTCTTGAATTTTGAAATTTTGATAGTCTCAAGAGAAGAATCATCTGCATTATCTATACCAACTAATGAGTAGCAACCATTGATGACTTTCCTTCAAGAAGAAGCATTCAAATTATTGTTCTCCCTTTGCTTAGATGAATCTCTAGAAGAATTCCATGTACAAGCAGATATGAGAAATTTCATCCATTCCTAAAAATCTCCAATAACTTGATGTGGGATTAAAAGTTTCCCCTTGCGTAAGGCTTGGTTTCTTGTCATCCATATGAAGTGCAGGAGAGCAAAAAATTTCTTCAATCGTAGAAAGACCATTGTCCTTGTATGATTTATTTGAAACATTAAGAAGCCAGAAGATCAAACCTTGAAGAGAAATTTCTTCTCAAAAAATTCCAATAGAGCCAAACCAAATGGCTTTAACAAAAGGACATTCATAAAAAAATATGAAACAAGGAATCTTGAGAATCACAAGAGGAAGGAATAAGATGGGCTCAAAGGATATCACCTGTAGGGATTGCCTTGTGTACTTACTTCTAGACGAAAAGAAGATTTTTATATAGAAGATGTAATCTCCAAAGAAACTTCCAAATGCTTTCCTTTGTAAGATACAAATCCTCTGCATGCTTGTTAAGAAATCTAAAACCCTATTGGACAGTGTAAGTGCTAGAATTCCATATTAATCTATTTTTTGAACCACATAAAGATAATTGAATTTTAATAATTTTTTGAACTGCAGTTGAGTCATATAAATTCCTTAAGAAAGGAATATTTCAACTGAATTGAGACCATGAGTTGAGTTTTTGAATCATCAGACCAATTATGGTGGAGACATTAAAAGCCCCGGGCAATAAAAGAGTTAGAGGAAGACCTCCAAAGTTCATGAGTGATCTGAATGGAGGCTCCATTTCCAACTTGCTATTAAAGATGATCAATGATAAGGTTAGACAAGTCAAAGATATCGTTCCAAAACCATGAAGCATTGTAAGGTTTCTTCAAGGGAAAATCATTTTGAGAATCCACGTACTTCAACTTCAAGGTATTGCCCAGTAATGAATGAGTTCTGCTTGCAAAACTTACCAAATTTGTTTAGAAATTAAAACCACATTCATCCGCGTAGTATTCCTTAAGCCTAGACACCTAGACTTGACATGTCCAAATAACACTTCTTTCTTAAGTGGATATTTCTTTTGCCTTCTTCAATACCCAAAAATAAAGTTTACCAATTTGGCATCAATAAAATCACAAATTTTCTTTAGAACCTTAAGACAAGAAAAAAAAATGTAAATATTAGAAGCAAAAAATATAGGTCAGATGAGAGGCAGTGTAGAAACTTGAGACAACAATTTGGTTTTCCATGAAGCTACCCTTTTGTCAATGGACTCCGATACTTGATTGTAAATAACTGATTTATCCCTACCAGCATCAGTCTAGGTACCTAGGTAGTTCGCAAAAGTTTGGCTCAATTGAATGCCTAAAGAATTTGAAATTTTCTGTTGCAAGTTTGTAAGAAACTAAGAATGTTTGGACTGAGAATCAAGGTAGATTTATGCAAATTGACTTCCTGCCCTGACCACCGACAATTTTTATTAATGATGTCTTGAATGGTTGCTAGACCACTTCTTGTGTACTGAAAGAAAATACATGAATCATCAGCGTATAAGAGATGAGCAATTGGAAAGGAGGAATGACAGAAATCTTATTCCTTGAAAAGATCCCTTCCACCCATGATGTGTAATATCGCCTAATTATACCACTAACATAACCATATTAACCAAGAATTATCATGGTAATTAAACATTAACCATTTAAGACCATCATGAAAAATATAAGTTCTTTTATTTAAAATGGGATCTCAAGTTTTACAATTTAAAAATCTAAAATATTTAAATCAACATGAATCTAAATTAGAGTCAAAAAATGTACGGAAAATGGGATACCAATTAAACTTGAAAACATTTGCATAAAAGGGGTTAAAAATGTCATTTTCCTGTAGCACGACCCATCTGTTGCAGCGGAGATGCATTGTGTTTCAACTAGATGCTCTTTGTACCATGTGCCGCAGTATATTACACAGAATTTGATAACATTGAGCTATCATATGATAAATCTGAAGGTCAACTTTTAGCTTGCCTCAAATCTCTATCGAACATCCATTTGAGATAACATAAATGTTTATAGAAAGCTTACTCAATGAACTAGTTATTGGCACTAATTTCATTTCTAAATTATTTTATACCAAGGAGTTTATACCCAAATACAAACTAGTTACATTTTCACACTTTTTTACAACTAGGGTGTCCAAACCAAAGTGCCAAAAGCTCATACAATCACCTGGACCCACCTCAAAGGATATAAGAAAACTTGTG